AAGGTAAGATTAGACTTCATACAGTTTTGGATGTGACAGTTTCCATGGTAAATGCAAATGTTTCCCACCATTTCAATTCATGGATTACTTCATTACGGGGTGGAATCTTCCAAAACAGTCTTGCATATTTCACTGAAAGCAATAGTTTATTGCTATTGAATGACACCTGAAGAAATTCCTTAGTATTGGTAAAACAGTATATTTTGCTATCTAATTGCAACTGAGAAACCAGTATGTATCAGCTGATTTTTTTTAAAATCTTAAAATCATTTGGAAAATATATCTTTGTAGCAATATGAGTATTTTTTTGTGCCGTGGTGGTGCAGTGGTTAGAGTGCAGTACTGCAGGCTACTTCTGCTGACTGCCGGCTGCCTGCAATTTGGCAGATAGAATCTCACCGGCTCAAGGTTCACTTAGCCTTCCATCCTTCTGAGGTGGGTAAAATGAGAAGCCTGATTGTTGGGAGCAATAGGCTGACTCTGTAAAACCGCTTAGAGAGAGCTGTAAACAGTGGTGGATTCCTACCGGTTTGGCTCAGTTTGCCCGAACCAGTAGTGGTATGGCAGCCTGGGTCACTGGAAGCGGGCAGCGGTCCAGGCCTGCCACGCCCCCGAACCGGTTCCAGTTTTCAGTCAACTGTGTTTTCAGTTTACAGTCAACTGTGCATGTGTGATGGATGCGCACGCGAGCGAAGCGAGCAGCGCGTGCACAAAAGTGCCCTCTCAGTGAACTGGTAGTTAACCGGTTAGGAATCTACCACTGGTTGTAAAGCACTGTGAAGCGGTCTATAAGTCTAAATGCTATTGCTATTACTATTGGTGGAGATGTCAAAAACTGGATTTTAGGTTGTTATTATTCAAATCACCAGTAAATACATAAATTATATTACAGATGGGGATATTAATTCACACCTATTAATACACAAATATATTTCCCCCTCTCCCTGAAGAATGAAGCAGCTCCTCTCTCCTCTCTGGGCTCCTTTCTGCTTTCTATCCTTCACTGAAGAAAGTTATGTACGTCTTTGGACTCATTATTTCCCATGTATGAAAAATAAATAAATAGAAAGACATGGGAAACTTTTGAACCTATAGGAATAATTCCCTCTCTCATTTTGAAGTTGAACTGCAAATACTCAAGAGTAAATGATGGGGATTAAACAATAGAGATTGTTTGGCCAACAGCTCAGTTTTGCTGAGTTGACATTCAAAAACATGGGAGAAGCTTGACTTTCAGGAAAATCATTTTTCACCCAGCATAGCTACAGAAAATCAAGCATATATTGTTAGATTGCTATTCTAGGCAGTCAGTTAAGTCCCCAATCTTAAAATGGGAGAAATCAGTCTGATTAAATTAAATTAAAAGGGTTAATGCTAATCTATGGAAACTCTTCTCTCTTCGTGATAGAGAAATCCTCTTGAATGTATTCAATTGGAATATTCAACATTGATTTCATATTAATATTCTATTTGTAAGCATCACATTGCTGGTCTTGTTCTATTCTTAATTTTTTTTAAACCTGAGAGCCACTGTTAAATACCAGGATAGACATATAGGACAAATACAGACCTCATTGCAATCATAAGTTGTGCATTGTAATGTGCAAAATTGTTTCATGCAGCATGTGAACAGTTATCACAAATCAGAAGCTTGCAGTCATGTATATTACTGTGGAAGCCAGGCTGGGAGATGATATGTGGGTCACATGGCTACCATTAAAACTGAATATATGCATTTGTTCCCAACACTCTTATCATAACTAACAGCTCTGCACTTCAAAAAATTCTTCCTTATTCAACTATGCTAAAGCCCTAGACTAATAGATTCACCCATGGCCGTAATTCTAAGCAGGAAATAAATATTGCTCTCAGCAGCTACTGGGGATTGGCTTAAGAACTGTAGAAGTGCAAGGCCTTTGAAGTTAACATTGCGTTTTCAATGCAAATAATCCAGAGCTCGCCTTCCCCCTCCTCATTTAAGGCTGTTCAGTGGTCTCTGCTTAAAGACCTACCAAGTGTTGGCGAACCTTTTCGGCACCGAGTGCCAAAATGGGAGTGTGCACACCTGCCAGCAACCAGAAGAGCAGTTGCTTAGTGCATGAGGACACGCGCATGCCGGGCGGTTGTTCTTTTGGTTTCCGGTATGCGCATGCACACCAATCAGCTGGTCTTCTGGTGCACATGCCTGCATGAAGACCAGCTGGCTGATGTGCATGCTGGAAACTGGAAGAGCAGTTGCCCGGTGTGCATGCATGGGCCAGGAAAATGTTCTTCCTGTTTCTGGCACACACATTGGCCAGTTGGTCTTCTGGTTTCTGGCGTTCATGCGTCCATGAAGACCAGCTGGCCGATGCACATGTGTGTGTGCTGGAAACTGGAACAATCATCTTCCTGGCATGTGCATGCACACCAGGCAACTGATCTTCTGGTTTCTGGCACTCTTGCATACATGAAGACCAACTGGCCGGCATGCCAGAACCCAGAAGAGGAACGGATGATGTCTCGCTTGCCCAGAGAGATGGCTCTGTGTGCCACTTCCAGCATGCATGCTATAGGTTCTCCATCATGGATCTACACTCTTTCTATAGAGAATAGATATCCCTGATATAAAGTGAGGGTGTTTTATATCAGCGTTCCTTTGTTATCTTTCATCTTTTCAGAAATACACCGTCGCTTCAATTTAGAAGGCCATGACAAGAACAATTGGACTGATGGTCTTCATCATTATGACAGTAACAGCAGTAGTATTAGTGTCAGTAGTAAAAACACCCTTGAGTCAAACTTCACTCATGGCGACTACACTCCATGTCATTTTCTTGCCAATAGCAGTTTGCCACTGGGTTCTTTGTCATCATCAACAACAACATAGCCATCCTCATTCTGACAGCCGCATGTAAGATGATCAAAAATGGGCAAGATAGCAGAACCTCAAAGAGTTAAGCATCATTGGGATAAAGCACAAGGCACTCTGTGTGTCAAGTCCCAATTCTGCCCTGTTATGAGCCCATTTCAAAAGGGTTATTTGTACAGTGTGTGTTTGTGTGTGTGTGTGTGTGTGTGATACAAATGGGAGAGGATCAGCATCTCCCCCCTTCAGAATATAGCTCGCTGGGGATGGCAAAGGAAATACCAATAACTCACTCAAGGTAACTAACTCACTCACTGTTTTCAACGGTGAGTGGCAATGGTGGGCCATTTTTAAACTACATTCTATGTATACTATGTATTCTATGTGTGAAGCTAATATTTATTTATTCTTACGAGTACAATTCAATGCCTTTTTGGGTAGAGGGAAGACCCACTGCTTTAATGGGTAAATATGCATAGCCACTCATATTGTAAACCTATCAACGGCACAAGATAACAGTAGCTGAATAGAGTGTTAAAGTTAGTTACAGACAAGAGTTCCATAGGCTGTTTATTAGCTGCACTTCCAGTTGATTATGTGCTGATTGTGACTCCTAGAAGCTGTCTGAGGATGATAAGAGATGGTCCTTTGCAATGGTGGGATTCCAATTTTTTTACTACCGGTCTGTGGTTGTGGC